AGGCATTCACAGATCCATGTGTGCGGCATTGAGTTATAGGCTTTCCTGTAGTCAATCCAGGGTGTGCTCAGATTGGTCGGTCTAGACCTTGAGTCTTGGGCGGCTGCTCTATCTATGAACAACTGGTGTTTTGAGCCTCTGGTGTTGTTCCTAATGCCCTTCTGAGTTGTGCTCATGTACTGGCCCATATGGTCCCGTAGCTTGGTGGCTAGGATGCCTGATAGGACTTTCCATGTTGTGGGGAGGCAGGTTATTGGCCGGTAGTTGGACGATGCTGTTCCCTTGTGGGGTCTTTCATGATCAGCACTGTCCTTCCTTGTGTTAGCCAATCTGGGTGGGAGGCTGCTGCTAGCAGTTGTTTCATCTGTGCTGCTAGGCGTTCATGCACTGCTGTTAGTTTCTTTACCCAGTAGGTGTGGATCATGACTCTTAGTTTGTGTATCTCCTTAGCCTGGCAGGCAGTGCTGTGAGCCCTTGTTTGGCAGTCTTTAGGGCTTCGGATGGAGTCAGGCCCATGTATATTTTCAGTAGCTGAGTCTTACCCTTAATTTTCACACCCTTCTGTAGTTCTACCAGATGACTAACTTCTCTCCGAGTTACCTTGATCTTCACCTCCAGCCTCATTTTCCAGGGTGGGGGTGGGGGTATGTACCGCTGTTCTTCTTAATCATGTAGCCAAGCATCTCCAGGATCACAGCAGCTGTAGCATATACCAGTTCATTGGTTTGAGTTATGGTGGGATTGTCGTGAGGGCTCTGTTGGCATCTTCTAGCATACCATCTCATGGTACTTCTCCACTGAGCCTTGGTAATCGGTCTTGAGGGCTGACAGCAGCTATTTTATCCATGATCTTATGCCTCATATCAGCTGCTGTGCTCTGTAATGGAGGGGGTGGCAGTGACGTTCCAGCTTCAGGTGTTTGCTGCACAACCACTTGTTCTTCCGGGTCTTCTTGAGTCCGGGATGTAATATGTAGTTGGTCCATCTCAAGTTGTGAGAGCAGCTTCCTCTTCACCATGCTGAAATGCTGGGTAACTAGTTGTTTCTCAGTTAGTGTGGATGTAGGTCTTCCGTCCATACATAGTTTCCTCATACGTTTCAAATATCCCCTCTCATTATGTCTACTGTGGTAGCAGCATTCCATCAATTCCAGGTTCTCTTGTCTCGTCCATGTATGGTTTGTTCCAGTAGCCCACTTATCGTCAAATTGTCCTGGTTCCCCAACATCTGGTGCGGATTTTGTTAATCCAGGTGACGTCCAAGCCAGCATGACTCTCTTTGTGTCACTCTCATATTCAAGGTAGGCAGGTGAAGCGTTAAGGGGTCTTTTGCCCAAGGACCTCTACTGGTAAGGCAGGAACCAGCCGGGATTTGAACCCCAGTCTCCCATGTCAAGGGTGGTGGTCTAACCACTATGCTATCCAGCTGCTTTACATCAGAATTATATGTCATGCATCTGAAGTAATTTTTGTTATTTTTGCTGTAACAAATCATTATGGCTTTCTCTTTGGGAGTAAAGAACTACATGGGTGAAGGACTAAACATGCAAGGGGCTAGTTTAAACTTGATATGTTAGTAAATATAGCTTGCCACTTCAATTATCTTTGTTTTATATTCAGATTTCTATCTGTCTTTTATGGTGAAAAGATATCAAAATGTAAAGCAATATCCATTTTACCTGCCTGTCCTGTATCTTGTCTCATTTTATTCTAAATTGTTGTCTGTGTAGAGAAGAATGTAGCATTAATGTTAGTATTGGTTGTGCACAGAATCATTGTGGTTTTCTTTTGTTTTGTTTTAACAGAAGTGGATGTCTGGGAGTTTCGCCAGTGTGTGAAATTAGCTAGAGAGATCTTTGCTCAGAAAGCATTTGAAAAATTTCGCGGACCTGAGATTCAACCAGGCGAACATATTCAGTCTGACAAAGAAATAGATGCTTTCATAAGACAAAAAGCTGATAGTGCCTATCATCCTTCTTGCACTTGCAAAATGGGACAGCATTCTGATCCTACCGCTGTAGTTGATCCTGAGACCAAAGTTATAGGCACAGAAAATTTGAGAGTAGTTGATGCCTCAATAATGCCTAGTATTGTTAGTGGGAATTTAAATGCCCCAACCATCATGATAGCAGAGAAGGCTGCAGATATTATCTTGGGATTGCCATCGCTTCAAGAGAAAAATGTTCCAGTATATAAACCCCAAACTCGGGAAACTCAGCGGTAACTTTCTGTTCTGCACCTGGTTTGCCTCCATAGGAGAATCTTGGCCTACTTTTTCCATAGGAATATCTATAAAAAGTAGCATCAATTGGTATGTTGCCTAATAACACTAAACCAAAAATCCACTTTCAGTTTCAGGAAAGAGGGTGTACAATAGAAATGATGCTTTACTTCAGCTAATATCTGTTAATAATAGATTACTAGAAACATCTGATTAACCACAGAGTTGTTATATAGACATTTGATGATATGCACAGTAAATTTTTACCACTGAATGGAACTCAGATTTTGTACAGTGCTACAAAAAGCTGAAGGAATAATGACAAAAATAGAGTGTATATAATAACAAGTGGATGGGCTGGTACATTTAATATTTTACATATTTTCCACATCAGATCTGAAGGTAAGAAAAAATACCAGCAATGTATTTTTTCCAGTAATGCAAGGTACCATTTAATCTCAGAATGAAATAAAATTACCATTCTGTCACCATTTTGTAGCTGAATTCTATTCAGGATATTTTTCTTGGATATTCTAAATAACTGAATCAGAACTCTGTTCAAGTTAGATCTCTTTGATCTATATTCTGTATTTTGGACATTTTAGACAATTTTTTTTTCAATTGTCACTAAGGAATAGAAAAGAATGGAAGTTGAAATGAAGTTGAAGCATTCATTTTAGTAGAAATAATCATGATTAAGTTATGCTGCTTGTGCTTTGCAAAATATATTCTCATGTTTCTGGAATAAGCAAATTTAATACAATTACTATGTTTAGCCTCAAATTTTTTTCTTTTTGTTTTGCTATCTTTTACTGTAGGCACTACTATGATTTATTTTGTCTTACTGTTTAGGTACATTAAGAGAGTAATAAAAGCCTTGCCTTGAATTGGTCTCATTAAGCAAGATTGTTTGCATCCTTAATTGACATTAAGGATTATTTGCGTCCTTAATCAACAGGGCAACTTTCTGGAAAGTATTGGATTGTTTTTCAACAACTGAAAACCAGCAGATACAGCTATCAAGGCAATTACTGCTTCAGAAAAGTGGGAACAGGTTTTTTTTTTTTAAAAGCTGCTGATTTGGAAAGCTGCCTTGAGACATAACTGCAGATGCTCTGAGCGTGTCCTGATGGCTGGTATTGCTGCAAAGCAATGAACATTGTGGAGCTTTGTAATTTACAAGGGAAAGGAATGAAATGTTAGAATAAGAGTGCTCTTGAAGGATAAGGTAACTGCTGTGATACTGTCTCAAAAGGAATTATGAAAAATGTTTTGTCATTAAATTGCAGCCAATATGATTTAGTTAGCATGGTATCAGTCTAGAAGGTATGAATGTAAGAGTTTATAAAAAAAATACAGGGAGTCCTTGGAGCCTTTTTGGAAGGTGTTTTAATTGGTATAGCTTGATTGTCATTCGGGCCTTTAGGCTGCAGAGGTCTTCAAAATCCTGTATGATTTTCAGTTCCATTATGATATGATTGGGAGCACAAGTTTAAATGCTACCCTGGAGATAAATGCTACTCTATAACAATGATGCTTCATGGAAAATAAGTTTACATAATTTTAGGTGAATTTCTGCCTTATTATTTAATGTATATAACCTTGAAGGCATTTCCTATTTATGTAGTTGATTTATATCTGCCTTTATTTTGTACATTTCAAGATGACATACCTAATGTTTCCTTGTATTTTCCCCACAACTAAACTCCGTGAGATGAGATGGGCTGAGACAGCGTGACCGACCCAAAGCCACCCAGCTGGCTTCCGTGGCTAAGGGAGAATGAGAATTCATAGTCTCCTGGTTTCTAGTCCAGCACTTTAACTACTACACTGGTTCTCTTTCTGCTATGTCATGTGGGGTTTTAAAAGGTCTTCAAAACCTTGCATCCCATTTCTTGGGTGAGGTTGTCTTTACTTCCGCCTTTGTTTTTGATTGCTCTTAATGTCAGAATAAAAGCAGCCTTTATTCCACTGGTGTGCCTAAACTTGCAACATCTTAGTTAAGTGTTTTAGAACCATCATTAGCAACCTAAAGTGACCTCAACTTTTGTTATTTCTCTGCCTATGAGATTCAGAGAAAAATTCTCCTGAATCAGGGCTTGTTAGGAAGCTAGCTGTGAAATCCTTTGAAGAAAACAATATAGAGGAAAACTTAGATTTGCAAATACAGCATAATGGAAGCAAGTTGGGAATACAGTATATTCTGAAATAATACACTCTGGAAATGAAATAGCAGCATAGGAAGAGTACAACCAACAATTCAAAATAACTGATCGAAAATGTTATTTAGGTCATTAGATTGTGGGAAGATTCTTGAATTGCCAGAAATAAAATTTTCTGAGCCAGCAAATTATTGGAAATAAGCAAACTGAGGCTAACTTGAACTGGATGTGGGCATCCCCTTTGTAAGTCCATGAACTGATGGGCTCTTAGATAGTCTTTTGCCACTGGAAGAAAAGCAAAGGTGGGAAGGGGAAGAAAAAGTTATTGATATTTCTAGCAGATTTGAGAGAGGGGATAAGCCTACTTTTCCTAGGAATAATGAAATGTCCAGCCTTGAATGGAGAGAAATAAAGCCTTGCTGGTTACATTCTCTTCCTCTACTCTTATATCTCTTGCAAGGGAAGCTGAGAATGTATTCAATACTGAGTCACTGTAGATCTCTGCTTATAATGGGATAGTATTGTTCACAGTTGATAGTATTAATGATGTATATATGGAACGCTTTACGAATTTGTATGTCATCCTTGCTCAGGGACTATGCTAATCTTTCCTTGACAAGTTAACTTAAGTTTAAAATAAGCAGGTAGTGTAAGCAGCCACTGAGTATTATTGGTCATAGTAGTAGAAGCACTAAACTGCCTGGATTAATACTCTTTTTGGCAGATGTTTCTTCAAAATAAGCCAGCATCACATTTTTGCCTTTGACCATCAGTAATATACTTGCAACTGAGAACAGTTTATTTCCAGACAAAGGATTACAGCCAAATAAAGACCCAGAGTGAAACCTTGATTTAGTGGACCTAAATGCAATGGGTACAATGCATGAAACTCCCAAAGTGTTTACATCATTTCACATCAATTGCATTATGAAAATGAGATAATTTGCATTTTTTTCCTAATGATGTAATCAGGTAAATTGATGCAAATTATGTAATTGCCCCACATAACATACTCTCTAATTGGGGCGGTTGGGTATGATGGAATACCTCCTCTCTCAATTAGTCCAAGAAAACAAGATTTTATTGTATAATTTTCAAAGGAAACTAAAATGGACTGGGTTCAATTTATTTAATAGTACGTGATCTTTGGAGGGGGAGGTACTTCCACTGAAACAATTTTTTGCCTTTTTTGTTTATTTCAGTGGAGCTATGTAAGGAAAAGTTTTTGTAGATTATGCTCATAATTACTGCTGGTAAGTTTTCCAAATCATATCCTATATACTGCTTAGAGTGATTTATAAGAGCAATGGAGATGATGAGTCTTAAATACTCTTAAACCATTGCAAATCTTAAATCACAATAGTACACCAAAAAGAAATCAATCAGCTAGCCAATCAGCTAACCCTTAGGAGGTTGGTTGTAAATTGATTCTGTCATTTTATTTATTATTAAATTTAAATGCCACCCATCTCCCTCAGAGGGTGATTTACAATTAAAAAGCAAGACAAAAACAAAAATATAAATACCCCTCGATTAAATCACAATTAACGAATCTATAAAAGCAGTATACAAATCAAGAAGATGGGGGAAGCAGTATCAATCATCCCATGGGCCAGTTCCAGCAATGTGAGCCCCCATCAAGCCCCCAGGCCATCCAGCATACCCATGTTTTACACCTTTGCAGAAGGCCGGAGGGTGGGGGCACCCCACACCTCAGCTGGCAAGCTGTTCCACAGGGTGGGGGCCATGGCAGAAAAGGCCCTCTTCCTAGACCCCGCCAGCTGAAATTCCTTGACTGGCGAGGTCTGCAACATGCCCCTTCTGCCGGACCAAGTGGGGCGGGCAGATATAACGGGGGCGAGACAGCACCTCAGATAACCTGGTCCTGTGCCATGAAGGGCTTTAAAGGCGATAACCAACACCTTGAATTGGACCCGGAAGCAAACTGACAACCAATGCAGCTCGTGTAACAGCAGTGTTATATGTGCCGCCCTAGGGGCATTCAAGTCATGTAGAAGATTAAGCTAACCAAGGAGTTGTGTTATAGGAACGTCTATACTCCATCTGTCTTTGTATACCTAGGCCTTCAGAAAAAGAGCTGGAGAGAGAGAGCAGCTGAATAAGCAAGCACCTCTCTTATAGAACTCACTGCTAAAGCGTGGAGCACACATCCCACTCTCTGGCTGAAGTGGCCGTGCTATGCCTATTGCTGCCTGCCTGGTCAGCTGGGGAGAAGCTAGTGATGTAATGAAGGCTTGCACAAGAACACATGGGATACTAGGCAATTCTTGGGTAGGGACTCCATGGTTCCGAAATGATGATTTTTTAATTCTGTGTAATTGTGTGCTGCCAGAACCACCAGTAAAGAAATTGCCTCATCCTCTTATTACATAAATGGATGAACACTCATGTTCTCAATTCTTTTCTAAAAAAACATGTGGTGTGGGCAGCTGAATATCTTTCAAACAAGAGTCAATTTATTATGTAGGTATTTCTGTACCATCAACTCCACAGAGACTTTTGGCAGTTTTCATGTATCAGTAAAATCCATCATATAAAATGAACCACATTCCCTTTAAATATATGAAAAAAATCCCTCCCATTATGACCATTCCTGGAAATACGACAATTTGTCTGTTCTTTGGAACACTTCCATTTTAATTACCTTTCTATAGGGAGGCTGCCATCCAGGTCTTTGGGAGAAGGCTATACCATAGGAATGCAGCATATACTGGAAAACAGTTTCCTAACTCCCACCCCCTTCCTTGGATCACAGAGAGGGGGAACCCTCAACCCATCTAATCTGAACACGTGCTAGTTATGTTGCTTCTGCTTGAAGCAGATGGTTCTAGGGGTATATAAGCACTAAGCCATGTGTACTTCAAAGGTAAAGGCCAGCATTTAGAATGTGTCAAGAAATCTATTGGTGAACAGTGCAGCACTTGCAAACAGTGTTCTAGTCTAGTGGTTCTCACCCACTAGTAAGCGGGCTGCTGCATTTTGTATCAATTACAGCTTCCAGATGGTTTCCAGTTCCCCAATGCAGGGCCTGATGAAAGATATCATCCAGCGTAATCAATGCAATTTCTGTCCCATGCCCAGATCTAAAACATGATAGGGATCCATTTCATCTAGAGCACTCTATAGTTGCAATTCCACCATGGGATAGTTAACTAAATTGGCTGGATTCCAGAAGGCTCTTTTCAGGACAGACCACATCATCACCAGCAATCAGCATCACCCCCCCTCTCCCACCAAGTCTTTGACCACCTGCAGTTCCAGCCACTATCCCCTCCTCAGCTTCATTAAAAAGCCAGATTGGACAGGAATTAAGCCCACAGATGTCAGAATTCATTCCAGTGGTCATCCTACCACTTCCTCAGATTCAACAGATTGGAATGAATCCTAGGTAACCTTATATTACCTTATTTGCCTCTTCATATCCTACCTATGCATTTCTGAGCTAATTTAAGATTTTATAGAAAAGTGAATTATCAACACCTAGTGGTTCTCAGGAAGATCTTCCTATATTCTACCACTCAAAAGAGTAAATCGCCCTAAATAGAGCCACTGATTTAATAAGGGCAGAGAAGTAAAAGATGAAAGATTTATACACTCTGGAGAGAAGTCAGGTGAGCAATGCACATATCTGTATTCTTACGTGTTGAATTATTAAAAGTGTTCTTGGTTTAAAAAAAGTAAGAACACTGTTCTGCCTTTACAGCCAGTGTAGTCTCAATGTGAGTTCTTATCCATGCTTGGTCAAGTTCATTTCTGGCTTTCTTCTGTGAACACTCCAGGTGTCTGTTTTGCTGCTTCCTCTCCTGGAAGTACTCAGTCAACCAAGGCATACCCTGGGATAGGTAGACCAAGAGTGGCTACTTGGAAGTAGTCTCATCAAGCATTGTAGCCATCTCTGAGTTTCAGAACTCAACCAGGCACTCTGTAGAACTGCCTGCCAAATTGTGGGAATCTCCCAGAAGCTTTAGGAATCCATCTGGATCCATAAGGCTCCTGAGGTAGACCATTCTAATTGGTCTTCCAACCCTGTGGAGGTCCATGGCACTGGTAATGATGATCAGGGTGCCATCAGACCATGATTCATGTGAAGTTTCTCCGGGTTTAGATCATATTCCAATTGCTGTGAGATGAAGAATTCTAATGTGCAACCACCTGTATAGGTCAGGCCAAATATTACTTAAGAAAAGCTCATGGTTGTCCTGAGCAAATGGGGGCATAGAATTCCTGAAGGCATGGAGACTGAAGTACTCCAGCATAAACAGCCAAGAGGGTTCCAAATCCAACTCCACAATTTCAGGAAGAGATTGGCCATGCAGCCTTGCAAGTGGTACACAAGCATTATCCCCAATTTGTTCCTACAGCCCAAACTCCATACAGATACTAGGAGCATATCACCTTAGATTTAGTGCCCCTGATTGCCATCAAGATTTCTGCAAGGATCATAACCATCCTCCTTCCCTTCCCTTAGGATCATGGATAGTGGAGGACTCAAAATCTTGGAGGTCCTGTCTCCAAGAAGGCAGTATCTGTGCCTTCACCCAGCTAGGTTTTAGTAATATGTACCAGTTTGCTTGTTCATCTGCCATCAGAATTTGAATGAAAGGTTCAAGGTCCAGGGATCCAAACTCTCTCCCTTTACCAGAACGGTTTGCCCAGAACCACCTGTCATATCTTCCCTGGGTTGACCTGAAACTAGCAGGATGCATTCTCCTCTTCTTCCTTCCCCCTCAAGTCACCTACGTGCTATCCTCTGTCTTTCAGCCAACTACAGACATTGTCTCCATGCTAATCTCATCTTCTGCTGCACTCTCCAATTGGCAATGACCTGCCTAACTTCCTTGTCAATCAAATACCATTCTCCTTTCTCCATTCCTTCCATTTTTAACCTCACCCAGTTTCTGCCCCACTACAGACCCCACTCTCACTGGGAACTTTAAAGTAGAGGATCGACCCCAACTGTCTCACTGTAGGGGAGTGGGATATTGTCTGTCATTCCCTGCATCTCATTCAGGGAACCTGTTACATAGTCTCCAAGGGCTTCAACAGCTTTGACTGGACCAAACCTCTTCCCATTGTTATTGGTTCTTCTATAGCTTGCTAAGACTCCTCTGCATTGCCCAGATTCACTTGTGAGATCTGCAGACCAGATTCATCAAGGCCCCAACACTCTGTGCCCATCAACTGCTGGCAGCCCTGGCCCCACAACACAGGTTCTGACACCAGCTCCTTTTGCTACCTAGCCATGACAGCCCTTGCAACTAGTCCCCAGCTGAGTTCCCCTGCATCATGACTCCCATCTGGTGTGCAGTTTCATGACTCTAATCTTCCATCAACATATCCAACACCTCTAACAACAGTTCAGAAACAGCAGCAACCCAGTTCTCCATTCAGTTTGAAAACCTCCCTTGGATCACAGACCTCAGAATACGTTGCCTGTTGCATGATGTTACCCTCCCAAATTGAGGTTGAGAACATAGCAGTGACAACAAACTCCACTTCCTTAGATGATTGCTCCCTGTAGTTTCATGCAGATCAGTAATTAGGGAAGAAAGAATAGAAGCCTGTGGAACTCCACAGTTCAAATACAGAACTATGGGGCAAAAAGAAATCACCAATCTTTAGAATTCCATTTGTTAGAAAGAAGAGACCAAGTATAATAACATTATTACACATTTTTATTCTCAGTAACATTTTGCATTTATTTTCATACAAAATGATGTAGGTCAGGAAATAATGTACAAACCTTTAAATTCTCTCCTGACATTTGAAAGAAGAGGTTGGTAAGGTATCCATAGCAAATTGCCACTGTGTACAAAATGGTTATATTAATTTCAGCTGTGTATGTCACACTTTTAGAAACGTGACAATTGCTACCTATTTTGTTAATACAGATAACCCTGATAAAGTTGCTTGGTGGAGCAAGTCCATTTATCCAATGTTAATAAAATAAACTTTTGATATTTATTGATCTCCAAAATCTTATTATCTTCAGTATCAGGATTTTACTGCATCACAAACAACATTGAAGCCCTCCTTTGATTGCATAAAAACAAATCCTGAAAACATTACATGTAGAACATCAAAAAAATTCATCAACCATGCCATATTCTCAACATCTTAGGAATGTTTTGGTTATGTAAGTCATCATTTCATCACACATTCCACCTCAAGCTGTAACTTGTTAACTACCCACCTTTTAAATTATATCTGTGTAGGAAGTCTCTACCAAGAAGAATGGTTCATGGTGGTTCAATCCTATGTACCTTCATTAAGAAATAAATCCCATTTTATGCAATGGGGCTTACTACTGCGAATTTGGTATAGGATTGGAACTTTAATCTATGCATATTTCAAAATAAAAGAAAACCTTGCCAAAATGGATTTTTTATTAATCTTATCTCTAGCTGTTATTGCAAGAGTTGTAGTAGAGATAAATCCACAGTTTGTTTTCTGTCAAAAAGACTATAGATTCCAAGTATCTTTCCAGATGTAAGATTGTAATTACTAATTTTCCATGTCTTACATTGTAAAGTGAGAATCCAATTGACTCAAAATATTTTATAAAATCTCTGTAGCATCAAGTTTTTTAAATCTTTACTTCAAAAACATTTTATAATGAAGGTGGCTCTATTTAAATCTTTAATTCTATAGTGCTATACAGTCCAAGTAAAAATACTTCCATTTAGAATTCAGTGAAGAGTTACAATGATGAGGCTCCATAAATATTGCTGCGGTTCAATTACGGTACAATAATTACAAAATATAGAACATCTCTTTACAAATACAAATTATGGTAGATTAGAATTTATTTACAATAATCTCTGCTATATAGTTTTTAACAAACTGTCCTATCTAACTCTACTTTAACCTGGTTGCAAGTGCATTAGTAAAAATGCAATTATTCCAGTGTATTTTGCCCTTGAAGTGATAGTCATAAAACAGACTATTTTTAATGATATTCTGCTATGTAAACTGCTGTTACCTATGAGAGAAATGCTTTCAGCAGCAGTCCAATGAAACAATCTCTTGCAAAAAGACTTTGACAAACTGTATTAAGGATTTTTTAAAAAAAGGATAGGCAAATTTTAAAATAATATATCTGAGTGGATATGCTGAATGCAGTGGATTTTTGATATGCTATGTAATCAGAGGTAATGACAACTTTGACTGTCATCACCATAACCTTCTGAAGACTTCTTTAAAAGTGCCAATCTTTTTTCCACTGAGAATTCTGAACACTCTGAAGGGCAGCAGAACACAATTGGAAGACAGCAATCTTTCCACTTTTTCTCTTTATTTGAAAACAAACGGGTTAGAATCTTCTTGGTTCTAAAGATCCACCTTTGTTCCCTGATGAGCTCAAGATTCTGTAGCAAAGGCCTTGAAGAAATCATTCGAATCCTGATTCATTATATTGGAAACACGTACTAATAAATAAAAGTATGGCTTCCTCACAACGTGACAATGTTATCACTCATGCAAAGCTTGATTCCTTATTGATTCCAGCTAGTGCCTAGCATCGTAGAACTAGGAGGCACTTCTGTTTATTTAAAATCAAACATTCTTCTTACTAAATACTATAAGGTTGTAATGCATATCATTTCATCAGATAAGTCTTCTTCATATTTTCCAGTATCCGGCTCTTCATCACTATAGCCAGGACCAAATTCTTGAAGTTCATAATCTTGTCTATTTAAAATAGGGAACATGTCACCATTAGTTCCACTGCTAATGTTTCCATTGAGAAGGTGGCTCGCAGCACTTTCCATCTCATCAATAGTCATATCACAAGCATCTGCAATCTCATGTTTTGTTGCAGAAACAAATTTTGGGTCCCTTGCATAGTGTCCTAATCCTTCAGATATAAGCACCTGAAAAGGTAATAGCATAAACATTATGTTGGCATTATGTTATCAAAAGGAACAGTGGCAAAGCAGAAGCTTGTACAGCAAGCCTGGGCCTATTGCTCAAGAGATTCTCAAAAGAAGCTAACTAACGTGCTTATTAGAGTAAAGCTTCTTAGAAGCCTACCATATTTTCTGACACTCTGTTTTGCCCATGATTGATGGGAAGCATGGGACTACTTTTGCTGCTTTTTTCCATAATCTAGTAAGGAATCTGACAGGACTGATCTGCATCTGCTAGGCAACCTATTACTTGACATAGATCCAAAGGCTACTTACACGTGGAAACAGGTATTCACACATGTATACAATGTACCAAAACTTTTGAACTTTTAAATTGGATCTCCCACATCCAATTTCTTGACTGTACATTTAGAACAGAATGTTAAGAACGCACATCTGCTACAGTGCATTTGGAAAGCATTCAGACCCCCTTCACTTTTTTCAATTTTGTTATGTTGCAGCCTGAGTACACATCTGCTACAGTGCATTTGGAAAGCATTCAGACCCCCTTCACTTTTTTCAATTTTGTTATGTTGCAGCCTGAGTACAATGGTTCAAATTCACTTTTTTCTCATTAATCTACACTCAGTACCCCATTGTGACAGAGTGAAAACAGAATTTTAGAAAAGTCTGTAAATTTATTAAAAAGAAAAAAATTGAAATATCAATTGGCATAAGTATTCAGACCCTTTGCTCAGTACTTTGTTGAAGCACCTTTGGCAGCAGTTGCAGCCTCGAGTCCAGAGCTTGAGAGGATTTGCAAAGAAGAAGGGCAGAAAATCCCCCAATCCAGGTACGCAAAGCTTATCACGTCATACCGAAGAAGACCCGAGGCTGTAACTGCTGCCAAAGGCGGTTCAACAAAGTACTGAGTAAAGGGTCTGAATACTTATGCCAATGTGATATTTCAGTTTTTCCTTTTTCATACATGCATTGTTTTCACTTTGTCATTATGGGGTACTGAGTGTAGATTAATGAGAAAAAAAAGTGAATTTGAACGATTGTAGGATCAGGCTGCAACGTAACAAAATTGAAAAAAGTGAAGGGGGTCCGAATGCTTTCTGAATGCACTGTGTGTTCATAGATACAGTTCCGGAGTGCTCCTCTCATTCAGATGAGAGCTGTCAACTAGGGCATGCAGAATTGGCAGTAGCAGCCATTTGCTTACTAGACAGGTTATACCTAGTATTCTACACTTGTATTTTGAAACCTGAGGACTGGACAAACTAGTATCAAAATGCACAAAAGTCATGGGATAATATTTAATGCTTATATATGTTGTTTAGTGTTCGAGCGTCTTATGTTCAATATAATACTGAAGCATTCTTTTGGGGTTTATGGAAAAAATATAAATTCAGATCCAAGGTAACTTAGTAAATGAACCCCTGTACTTCTGGATAAACATGGAATGTAAGAATAAATCTTCTTTACTTGGATCTGAAAAGAACAATATAAGCATTAAAAATAACTGCACAATTTTATCATGTAAGGAGATATTTTATTTTGAATACACCGCTTCTCATAACATATGATAAAATGAAATATTTGTAATGTCAGATAATACTCCATTTTCAGAGGTTATTTCATTACCAGCTCAAAACAAAGGTTTGAAACACTTACCGCTTCTACCAAACTGTCGGCACTCCTCTGTTTGTCACTATGCTTATGCCTAAAGTCACTTGGTACAGTCAAATTAGCTGGTGTAAATGTCCGATATGCAATATCAGGGTCATCGGTATACCAGGAGCTCCTATGCAGAGATGGCAGGCTGCCATTCATATATTCTGTAGAATCTGCTTGATCAACTTGGATAAGAGGCGTATAATAAAGAGTGCGGTCCCGGTTGGGTGGTGTAGCCCAGGAACGTGTTGAACGACTCGGGGAATGTCTATGAACTTTAGTGGCATCCAGACCTGCAACTGCCATGACCTGAGGAAGAGATGAAAAGTTCATATCGTCCCAAGCTTATGGAGGCAATAGCACCTTAAGCATTAACAGTGAGAGGTCACCAAGCTGATCTGTCATTCCAGTTGTTAGGGTTAGTGAAAGAAGGGAAACAGATAAAGGGACAGCAAAGCATCTCCCCTCCTTAATGTATTCATACAGGACATTTTCATTTATTTGTCTTCTCTGGTTCATATAATAAAGCATATTAAAACTTCCGTTACAACTGTTTGGAAATCTAAAAAACTATTGGGAATTTTGATTAGTCTTAGAGGTTTGCCGTATTAGGATACCGGCCTCAAAACCTATTCATTACTTCTGTGCATGCATGCATGGGAAAGTAAGTTATATTTAGAATTGATGGGGGGTTTATATGCATCTTCCACTTAGTTACACAGATGTTTATGCTCAGCACACACACAGAGACACAGGTGTGTGTGTGTGTATCATAATATTCTCCATCTCAGTATCTATCTCTGTGTAAGAATTATTCTGCCTTTGTTCTCTGACATATCAACATCTCCAGGGCAGGGTTTTTAAGTGTAACATTTCAAAGTATGTTTTTAAAAAAACTCAACTACACTCTTGTAAGCAATTTTCAATATAATGCCTTCTTTCCAGATGTGTTTTTTAATGGACATTTGATCTGGGCAAGATAAACAGGAGTCAGATTGTATTTGCTGTTAGTGTTTTTGCTGTGGCAAAATCTAGCTGGAATACCCAAATTCTTTCACAGCATTGTTGGTGAAGGAATTGTTTTACATCCTGAGTGAAGACCTCTCGGTTTCTCAGCTTGCCTTACTGGGGCCACACAGATGTAAATACTCAGGACCTGACAAAGTTGGGTTTCCTTCTTTCTCTCTCTCCTTGGAACTTCTCTACATTTTTTAAAAAAACCTGGGTAAGCTTTTATCTGATTCTTTTTAATACTTCTGATGTAGGGAACCTAGACTGTCAATTCCAGGCAGCCAATATTCACTGGCAGCTAGTCTTGCTTCTCTATGCCTTGCCTAGCAGGTCCATTATAGCTCCTGAGACTGAGCTGGTAGCAAAGTTATTTGCCGTGTCTTTCGATCTCCTGAGGCATCCACACCATGGAATACAAGTAGTCCTCGCTTACCAACCATTTATTCACGACCGTTTGAAGTTGAGACGGCACTGAACAAGTGGTACTTATGACTGGTCCTCAAAGTTCTGGCCATTGCAGTGCCACCGCAGTCACGTGATTGTGATTTGGGTGCTTGGCAACTGGCTCACACTCACGACAGTTGCAGCATCCTACAGTCACATGATCACTATTTGCGGCCTTCCCTGCTGACTTCCCACAAGCAAAGTTAATGGGGAAGCTAGCAGGGAAGGTCTCAAGTCACTCTGGTAAGTCCCCTCAGCTTACCTGTGCTTGCGCCCCACCATACTGCCCATCCCCCAGCCTTCCTGCACTTGTGCCCTGCTGTGCTGTCCATCCCCTGGCACTCCCATCCTGCCATGCTGTCCATCCCTGGGCTTTCCTGCGCTCACGCCCAGCCTGTACCAGGCCTCCCAAGCCCTCCCCTACCCCCTCACCATGCCCCCCATGGCACCTCCATGCTTCTTATCTGGGACTTCCACCACTTCCTGCTTAACAACCCGCATGTCTTGGGGTTATGATGGCAATTGGGACTGCCGGGATTGCTGTTGCTAAACAATGCAGTCATGTGACATTGCACTTTGCAACCACATCACTTAGCAACAGCAATCCCAGTGCCAATTGCTGTTGTAACCTGAGGACTACCTATATCTGCACGTTTCAAAACAGTGTTACAAAAGTACACATCCAAAGTTAGGTGTACAGTTTGCTTTCACTTACCTGCTGTTGCATTAAATGCAGAGGTAAAGCAGTGCGTTGATGAAAGGTAGGGGATGGTGGTATTTCATCATGACTGCTCTGCCTGCGGAGGCATTCAAAATTAAAGGAAGAGCGGCGATTGGCTGAAATATGAAAAGGTTGAATGGGTTGTTACTGCCTTCTAGAGATGTTATAGGAGCAGTTGGGATAGTCTGTTACAGGTAGAGTGTTTCAACGTTAACCAGCAGTGGGCAATTTCTGCTGGGCTGCAGCTCAACCTCCTGACCCACTGGTTTGCAGCAGGAGATCAAACTGGTGACAAGGTGATATCCCAGGAGGGAATGGGCCTAAATTTGCTTGGTTTGTACTTGTGTGGTTGTGTGGGAGGTTAATTACTGGTGGGAAAGGAGTGGTTCACCTTCCAGAGGCCTCTAGCTTTGATGCTCCCTCTTAGTTTCATAGACTGTAAAACTTTAAAAATTGTGCTACTGAAATGTGGCCTTGTTGCTCCTGTATTTCAGCAGTTTAGTTTTGGTCTGTTTGGGGATTGGCCATGGAAGGGTTAAGGGAAGGAAAGAGAGTGGTTTGCCTCTCAGAGACTTTTTATTCTTGTTTCCACCCTTAATTTTGCAGGCAGGCAGGCAGGAAGCAAGCAAGCAAGCAAGATCATGCTGTCAGCCACCAACTTCCAATTTGGGCAATACTGGAGTGTTAGGGAGCACAAATGAGATGCTGTGGGGCTGTGTTAATTACTGCATCTATTAAAGGTAGAAACTATATGGAAGCACAAGGAGCATTTTAAGTGGTTTTTCTCTTATTTGCTCTCAGAGGCTACATTATCAGGAAGTTTCAGTTTTTAATCTCACCATGTAGAAGAGGATGTCACTCCTTTTAGACCTCGATCTTATAAAAACCAGACCATCTTGCTAAAGAGTGTAGATCTTATTTCCCCTTGAGCAAGAAACTATTTAAACCAGACCTTTGCTGGTACACTTAGAAGACAGCTATTACATGCCATTTCTTGCTCAGACATTCTGACAGGGAGATTCCAACATATTTGTGACATTCACAAAGCGAAGATCCAACAAAAGGTATTATATGTTGGCAATGCTGCAGTGGAGATGAGGCATTAAGAGGCCACTGCCACACCACCTTTCATGGGCCTCATTTAAGGATAAACAGAGAACACGCTATGTCTTGGAACCTACAATGCTCCTCTGATCACTTAAGAGGGACAATTTCTCTGTATCACATTTTTCTTCTCAATGTTATGTACAATTCTTCCCCAACATTCCCAAGGATGCAGGACACCACCGGGGCATATTTGGAGCAGGTCAGGTCAAGAGAGAAGAAACAAAACAATTCTATAGACTCCATTCATAAACAAATGTAAAACTGGTTGACACATTTTGGATATTACTTTACAAAGAGGACATAATTTCTAAGAAATGTTTGTGCCTTTACAGAATATCAAAAGTAATGTAGAACTAAGTAAGTTATGGGTCAGGTTTCCATGAAAATCAGATTTCTAATCATTACAGTCCCTATAAATTACCACATCTGTGTTTCATAAAGATAACTTACATACTCCCCTGAACCCCCTCCTTTTCCTTAATGCGTAAGGGAGGACTAAAAGTTTCCCTGAAACTTTGAAGAACTGTGGTACATGAATGAGCTTTGTGCTTATGTGATCCCTATGGTTTCAAATCATGGTTTGCTAAGAATTGATGTTTTGAGTAAGACTCCCTTCTTACATTTGGATGTAATAGGAAGTAACTACATTAAGCACTCTGAATAGCTGCCATTCTACCAACTCATGCTGATTTTCTATTAACTGGGAAACTTTAATGAAAACTTTGTGATTATTCCCAGTAGGTCTGGTTTGCTGGGCTAAAGAAATCAAAATGTTCTGTGACACCATAGATAAATAGCAAATCCCCCAAATTTTAAATATTAAAACATCTGGATCAAATAATTTCATCTTGTCAAATGAGGATGATCTCCTAATGGAGTATTGTAATTTTTTGCAGTCTTAACCTTAAGCATTATTTAACAAATGTCCATTTGAATAGTGCATTGCTTCCCAGCGATTTGGACCAACTCCCAGCATGCTGGCTGGGGAATTCTGGGAGTTGAAGTCCATAAGGCTTACAGTTGCTATGGTTGTAACGCTGGATGCACACCTTTATAGCAGCTGCAATTTTGCCCAGATAAGGCTTGGCTCCTTATAGATATTGCAGAGAAGTGCTACAGTCACACTCCAGCATGCCTGAAACCACCTTTCAGAGATCAAATTTGATTCACTGCACAGCCTCATATCTTACGATGTTATTTTGTTATTTATGAATATGCATTTGTTTTTTCTCAAGTTAATATTACATAAATGTTTATTGTGGGGTATGTGCATTTTTTAACATGTAAACTTGAGTTATTAAGTTCTCTCATTTTCAAAAGACTTCTTTGTGGGGGTATGTGCTATTTTAGTAAGCAAAGTTAAATTTTAAATGGCATTTTGAAAAGACATCTGAACTAATTAAAGTATACATCAACTCTAGTTTTGGCTATTGGGAAAGACTAGGAACACATTTCCAGTAGTTTTGGGTAGTGGCAACTGTTATAAGCAATCCAAACATAAAAGTAGTTAGTCCACTATTCTTGATAAAGTTGTTATGCTATGAATGAGCTCACTCTGCTATTATACTTGTGTAAGGAATCCTGTAGTGATCTTCTGCTATAAAAAGGGGGCATGAGAAGCTACAGGAGGCAACAAAACATGCCTCCTTTCCCTTTAGTTCATTTATCCCTTTGTACGGTATTAAATCAAATAAAGTTTAGAGCGTAGGCAGAAAATATACATGTATGTAACAGTAAAGCAAACATGTCCACAAAGCCAACTTTTGTAGTGAACTCACATGTAGGTGTCGGAGGTAGCAGCCGTCTTCTAGGCGATCTTTTTGAATCATAACACATTGGTGACTCATCTTCCTCAAAAAAACCATGTGGGTGATGATAACCCTTTGGCCGTTCAAAATCTAAATCATTACAGTGATATGTACTATGACAGTCATGTGAATGCCTAAGGGTAAAGAAGCAGATAGTTGTATCACAATAGCAAACTAAGGGCTCCCAAAATTTGTAATCTGCCCAAAACCAACGTGAATCACCAAAAACAACAACAACAACAACCCACTGAAGTAATTTTTAAGAAGGAAAACAACAGTAGGGATTGGTACCTAGCATGCCTTCCTTTTCAGCCAGGGATCCAGAATTCCCCATCAACTTGGGCCAAGACATCACAAACTGAAATTTTAAATCTTAGACCTCAGTACATCTGGAGAACATTCAGTTGAAGAAACCCGATTTACAGGTGAAACTCGAAAAATTAGAATATCATGCAAATGTTCATTTATGTCAGTAAGG